TCGATTTTGGATGACCATCAATCGGCAGCCAAATGAACTCGGGCATTTCAATCCCTTAACAAGAACTCTGTACCTCAATCTGCATCCTCTACAAACGTCAAGTCACGATTGTTCGCATCTAAACTGCTACCACATTACTACTCTCCCCATGTAAAGACTGACAGGACACTAATCCACGACAAACAGATTCTACAACTCCTCCTGCCTCCTACCGTAGGGTTGGTAGTGACAATATTCGTTGACACTTTCATCAAGGCTACAACATACGTAGACAAAGATTACCAAATGCTGAAGAAAGGAAGTGGTACGAAGTTGGGACTGAATATGGATGCCAAAATGCCATTGCAAAGCCCTAACGATGGTGAGGTGGACATCCACCACGCCTCGCTTTCAGTTGCGTTCGGAAGCATCCGCACCTCGTCAAACCGACAACTGCTACGTACAAACGCCTCCTTGATGCAGCCGTTTGTTGAGGCCAAGAGATATCTGTCTCCAGCCCCCTTTCTACTGCACCTGCACCTCATGAGAGACGCACCACTCAAGGCAATGACCAACAACTTCTTTCCAAGCGCACTCTACCAGCGCAACCAACAATCGGCCTGCCTCAATGTACACATCTACTCCTTTGCTGACTCCTCCGTTTTACCATGCTTGAGCCACTTCCCCACGACAGACAATACCCCACGTCATGATGCAGCGTGACTTCATTCACCTACCGTCGCACCATCCAACATCCAATCTCCATCGACAGACAATTCGGTCCACGGCACTCCCCATGTACCTGTCAAACCGGATCACTTCAAGAGGACCACAGAGGAGTAACGAGGCGGCGAACGTGGAGAACAAGTGATCAAAGACTGCAGAGAGGTGAGTTGAAGAGGAAGCGCTCATTTGCCTGCACGTTAACCAGCCTCCAGTTGCGAATTGTTCGCACAATCTGGATTACCGAGACGCCTTTCCACATGGCATCACACACCATTTTATCGAGAGACGGCTCAAATGAACTCCTCAACGTCGCAATTTGCTTGTGTGAGAGAGGATAAATGCGAGGTAGCCTTTCAACCGAGAGTTCCATGCATCCCTGCCTACGACATTCCTCATCCTCCAATCTGACCTTTGCACCGGCCTTGCCTTCCACGCGCACACATTACAGCTACCTCTCGCAAAGAACGTGCAACCAAATTTGTACCAGCGCTTTTTATACCATAGTGACGTGGCCGTGGATGAGGTCCACGACACACCAATGAGCCAATGAGGTGGCGGTATCATCGCAGCTCCTCACCACGGAAGCAGTCACACTCAGCGCTAACACATCGTTCAATCAACATTTGCCATCTAACTGACGTGCACCCACGCATCGTTGTTGCTAGGATTAGGCAAAGCTTCCACGCTGCATTCCTCCCCACCTCTCTCTATCTCTCTCCCGCACACCAACCCCTTATCACACACACACACCCCTTTACTGGCCGACTTAAGGGACCAAAACCGTGGCAGCCACACAT